ATTCAGCTTTCAAATATTGGTGAACGTTCATTTGTCACAACAGGAGTAATCCTAGCAACTTCCTAGTCCAAAAAGCACAAGCTGTCCAAGAGCATAGCAGTTACAAAGATAAAATTTCAGGACTCTGCAAGAATCTGATCCTCCATCATCCATCTACTACTACCTCTAAGAAAAACAACAACAACAACAACAACAAAAAACTGCCTAAGAATTAATTCTGCCATTCTATTTTTGCAATTGAAGAACTTCCAGTTTTAGGAAAACCACAGAGCCTTCCTCACAGAGGAAATGACATTGCTCAGCTCTGGGCAAACACCAGGAGCCCACTTTGGGCTGGGCCTGGTGAAGGAAGGCCATGCAGGAAAGCTGGCCTCCACCACAGCGATGTTATGGCGCATCCCATTGCTGTGGGCGAAGACAACTTTTTAACAGCTGCTCTCCACTCCTGATGGATTATGTCTGGCTTCAGAAACCCCAGGGAGCAATGTTTTTTTAAGAAAAGAACATCCTCTTGACGGGCAAAAAAATGTAGTCATCATTTTTCCAGGCAATGGAGACTGTGATTTTAAATCTTTTACTGTGTCTTTACATGCTGTCCCTGTCTTTGAGTAAAACAGAATTTCTAAAAAGATACGGAAAAGTATTAGAGACACTCTGTAGAATTCCCATTCCACACAAAATCAACTGTAACATAGTATTTCTTTAACACATGCCTTGGAAGATGGTGGGGAAAGAGGAGAGATTTCTCCACAGCATCAGCAAAGCCCCGAGGTGTGGCTTCTTTTATTATCAGTTCAGCAGTGCTGATGTGGGCCTGGAGCTTTTGCCAAGTCACGTATTTATAACTGTGAGAAATTTCTATAGCATTATGCTAATAAAATTGTTCAGTAGCTTGCATTTATACTCTGCCTACAGGGGAATGCTGTGATTCTTCTCTGTTTGAAAGTCAGCTAGTACTTTTTAGACAGAAAGCTTAAGACTCATCTAAGTGCCCACAAAAGGACCGAAGCAGTGGCCAAAGTTCATCTGTGAGGGTCTCATACTCAGATTCCAACCAAATAACTTTAAAGAGGCACTGTTTAGACCCTCACTGACAACATCTTTTGACATCTGACCACTCTGTCAGAACTGGGACTTTTGGACTTTATCACACTGGAAACAAGCAAGTTAAAAAACACAGTCAGACAACCAAGAATACGATGTGCAAACAATGTCCACTATTATATGTATCACATGTATTGAGGCTGAAAGGAGTTGTTATATCTATTGACCTTTTCTAAAATACAAGTCAGAGTTTTTCATAAAGAGTTTTTCATACTGGATGTTTTTAATTTATTTTTTATGTCACAGAATACTTTCCTGAAAGGAAAAAAAATCTAGTTAAACTAATGCACATTTCATCAGATTTGTTCTTCCAGATTAAATATTTTCTATAGAAATAGCATTTCTGAAATATTTACAAACTGATCAACTCATCTCCTCATTTTTTATAAACTAAACCGGCGCTCTTCAATTTCTCAAAGCAACGGAGGTATTTGTTCACTCAGGAGTTCTTATACTACTTTTCTAAATTCTTTCCTACTTTTCTTAATTCTTTCCTACAGATCAACTGAATGCAATACACTAATAATCATTTAACTAGTGCTGCTCAGAACAAACACTATACCTACTATATCCCTTAATCAATATTATCGGATTTACAGTCCAAGAACTGCATTAGACTAATTAGCAAAAGCATCTCATTTGTGTTCAATTCATTTCCTACTCTGATCTTTAAATGATTTTCACATTTGCTGACTTATTGGCTATATATCTCCACTGCACAAATATGACCTTTATGATTTACTTTAAATTCCAATAAAACTCATGTTGTCCAACTATAACCATTTACAAGGCAATCAAGAGGTCTCAATGTTGTATAGTATCAATAAATTTAGCCAGTAAAGATTTTATACTTTTCAAAAAGTATCAATAAATGTCTTGAATAAAAAGGGGTCAAATTACATTCTCAGAAGAACACCATTTTGGATGGTGATTCCTTCTCCTCTGCAGAACTAATAACTTGTAATTTTCAATCCACTTAGAACTGGCTGCTTTTCTTTGTCATGCTGCTGTTTTTAAGGCAAGCGTACACTGAAAATATACAGAATCACAGAATTGCAGGAGTTGGAATGGAGCTCAACAGATCATCAAGTCCAACCCCTCTGCTAAAGCAGTTACCCTACTGTATGTAGGTCACACATGTGGGCATCCACACGGGCCTCAAATATCTCCAGAGAAGGAGACTCCATGACCTCTCTGGGCAATCTGTTCCAGTGCTCCATCATCCTTAAGTTAAAAAGTTCTTCATGTTTGTATGGAACTTCCTATCTTCAAGTTTTAGGCTTTATCCTATCACTACGTACTACTTCATCCATTTGCCTCCCGCTTCCCTTTAGGTACTTATAAACATGAACCAGATTCCCCACTCAATCTTCTTTTCCCCAGGCTGAAGAGACCTGGTTTACTCAGTCCTTCCTCATACAGAAGATGCTCCTGGCCCTTTATCATATTTGTGGCCCTTTGCTAGACTCCTTCTAGGAGATCCCTGTCTTTTTTGAACTGGGAAACCCAAAACTGGATACAGTAGTCTAAATATGGCTTCTGGACAGAGAAGAGGAGGAGGATCACTTCCCTTGGCATGCTGGCCATGCTCTTCTTAATGCACCCCAGGATCTCATTGGCCTTCTTGGCCACAAGGGCACACTGCTGGCTCATGGCCAACCTGTTTCCCACAAGAACACCCAGGTCCTCCTCTACAGAGGTCCCCTTGAGCAGATCATCCCCTAATCTGTACTGATGCATGCTGTTATTTCTTCCCAGGTGCAAGATTCGACTCTTGCTCTTGTTGATCCTCAACAGGTTCCTCCCTGCCCAATTCTACAGGCTGTCCAGGTCTTGTTGAATGGTTGCGCAGTCTTCTTGTGTGCACACCTAACAGAATTCTAAATATATATATACATATATATATATAGATATAGATGACTTTACCAACAAATTTTCAGTCTCAAGAAAACATATTACCAAGCATGTTTGACAAAACTAATCTCTTGTATCACTTGGCTGATACAAGATATGCTGTCTTCAATTCCATATTGATCTCACGCAGTCCTGGCCTTTCTAAATACAATGTAGACTCAGTTTTTTCAACATTTGCTGAAGAGAAAATACGAGGAAAAGTTCTAAGCTGTAAAAACAGTCTAGGTGCAAATGACTGCTAGATCCTAAATAGTTTAAAATGTTTCATTTTAGCAGCTGCTTTTTTACATCACCATAAGTGCTAGAATGATTTTTATTACTGCAAACTGTGAATACAGCATGCAGTTTCCACACAGTCAAAACCCAACAAGTTTTTACTTCCGCTATTCTGGTACCATTATTTACATTCTATTATTCCTATATAGCTGCTGTGTTTTTGCCACTATTTTTGTTTGTTCATAAGAAGTAATATCTACTTTTGCTATCTAGCTGTTTTTCCTTGCTGGATTCTTCCTGTGACTTAAAGAAGTATCCATCAACTTACTGTCTGAGTATTACATAGGAATTATTGAAGAAACACAAATACACAATAAACACAACACAAATAAAGTACAAATACACTTTATACATTCAGTGTAGACTGCATAAGCATAGAAACAGTGCACATGCACAGTCTAATTTATAACTGCAAAAAAATAGTAGAGCTATTTAATAATTCATGACTGTTGTTTTTCAGTCAAGCTTCATAACTTCACCAGGAGATTCAAAGCAATCTGGCTTACGTCATTCTTTTATTCCTATCATAGAGCATGTTGTGATTTTTCATTGCTACTAAAGAGCAATATTTAACAGTATCTGCCCTGCACAGCTATAACATAGAAGCCAAGCAAGTCATCCAAGATCAAACAGGAAGTCTGTAGTAGGAAAAAAAAAAAAATAATCCAAGAACGGAGCTTTTTCATGTCGTAGTTGTAAACAGGACACCTCAGCATACATGAAGTCAGCCAAAACAGAAGGCTGCAAACTGTGCCCAGCAGTGGGTCAGTTTCTAAGCAGGTGGGCAGAAGAGAACTGATAAAGGGAAAGTTTATTTCAGAATCCCTGCAAATCCCCTTTTCTGTGTAAAGAGATCACTTCACAAGCATTACGTGAGGGTACCTCCAATAAGAATATTCATTTATATTACTTGCAAGTCATTTTAGACGACTGAAAAAACATGTTTTCTTTATGAGCAATTGTTACCTTTAGAAAATAAAAAAAAAATGTTTTCTAAGGCACTGGAACAGGTTGCCCAGAGAGGCCCCATCCCTGGAGGCATTCAAGACCAGGCTGGATGTGGTTCTGGGCAGCTTGGTCTAGTACTTGGCGACCCTGCATAAAGCAGGGGGGTTGAAACTAGATGATCATTGTGATCCTTTTCAACCCAGCCCATTCTATGATTCCATGATTCAAGCGCCTACAATATTTCTGTTTGTCATTATTTCAAAGAAAAAAAAATGCACAGGCAAGATTCAAAATTTCCACATGTTTTTATACAAACATGGTATCCAGGAGAATCTGAAAGAAAAAAAAATATATAAAACTTTGTCTTGTAGCCAAGAATAGTACTGAGGGACCCTACTTGCCCACACTAAGGTACACCAGCGAAGTACACCAGCGTCTGCTCATTGCAAGTCTGAAGCCTAACAGGGCAAATTTCTCAGTAGCTACAGGACCTAGAACAAAAAATGTTAAACCAAAAACCTATCTACTCAGTACACACCTAACAGCATATTCATTGCTTTTGACAAAACAGAGACAAATTATGACACTTGGCATTCCTGATTTCTTTATAAGGCCACAAAAGATAAGAGGACACTCAAAAATAGTCTAGTGCATGCAAAACAACAATATACTCTTTGGAAACCACACCAGGAAAATCATAGGTAAACAATACTCTTTTCCTAAAACATGCTCTCTAATATTGAAATTAAAGCACCTACCACCATTTTCTTCTCCATTATTATTGTTTGTCTCAGCCATTTCAGTGCCATCTAATTCAGATTCACATCCTAAATCCAATGTCCCATCAGTAGGGCATGTTGATTCTTCTTTCTACAGATAAAATGAAAAAGAAAACTAAAATTAACAAGAAAAAAATCCGATATGATCCTGCTGCATCTCCAAAAATAGATTACTGCAGTATACTCATATGCTTATATCTCAAAAAAAATGAAATGAAATGAGATATGCTTGTGAGTTACACCAGAGAAAAACATAAAAACAGACTTTCATGAAGCAACTTGCAAAGTAAAACCAAAAAAGCTACTTTGTGAAGTCAAAACATACTCTATGTTTAAAAACTGTCAAATAAAATGCTAGTTCTTCCACTTCTTATTTTATTTTTTAAATTATTTTAACAGAAACAGCCTTGTTTGGCTGTTAAAAATCCTAGTCTTTGAGTGAGTGTCCAGAATGCTGCAGCAAAACACAAATCCTTTAATGTTTCTTTTTAGCTTTTGCCGGTTTCCTGAATTCAAATAGCGAAAGCAACCTGGAGCTCACAAGCATGGAAGTGATTGTGAATGCTTGGATTTGTGCCAAGAATATCTCCAGATTTAAAGCAAAACAACAGCATTTATTTTAGTAAATTAAGAAATGGAAACCTATTAATTCAATCTCAGGTACAGAATTTTAGTTATCAGGAGCAAACAAATCTACATGGTTTTATGTTTTTAAATTCTTACATGCAATTTGTTTGCCATAAACTACAAAAGAGCCTTCCTTTTACTCCCCCCAGCTTCAAATTTTAATTTACTACATTTAGGCAGCCAAACACATAATCTCACTCTCTTCTCTAAGAGAGTTTCTCTTCTCTGCTTCACATTCCTCCAGTTTGATTGTGAAGCCACTCTAAGTTCGATCATGGATAATAAAAAAATGTCATCCACAGAAATCACCAGATACACACCGAGAAAGAAAAATAAAGCAGAAAAGAAATAGCACAAAGGCAAAACTCCATTACTATAACTATATTCCTTGTCAAAACTAATGATGCAAGCAGAAAATTTAATGCTGATTTTTATTAGACTCACAATCAATTTTTTCACTATTCAAAAATCAAACATCAATAAATTATTTAACAAGAAAGTCTGTGATCATCTTGATTTCACTGCTCATAAAACAGTGGCTTTTCTGTGAACAACTATGAAAAATTTTCTATAAAAAAGCATTTTAGTTAAGCTGCATGTTTTTTATACTACATGCCAATGTCAAGAACATGTATACGCTTTCTAGGATAAAACATTCAATGTTTACTTTCATTATAAATCCTTTTAAAAGACATCTGAAAGCAGTTAGTAGGACTATCAGGTCATTTCCTCTCCAAAGAATCTAATCTGTTTACTTTTCTATCTATTGAAACATTCATAAAGAGGATTAATAGCATGAGGTACTTTCTATTCACAGCATTTAAACTTACTTTGAGAGCGTAGAGTCCTGACTTCCCAGGGATTTTGAAGAATGTTCCATCACCTACACGAGTGTTAGTATGAAGCATTGCATTCAGGCAAGCTAATGGAGAAGTTCCACTGAAAAATAAAATTGTGCAAAAAATAAAGTAGTCCAAGATTAAGTGCCTCTTGTAAAACTATTCCCTCAATCTGCTTTTTTTTTTTTTTAAATCATGCTTGCCTGGCTTTTTTTTCCCTCCTTTTCCTTTTTCTTTTTTTTCTTCTTCTTTTTTTTTTTTTTAAATTCTCTCAACGCTGAAAACATCTACATTACAATAACAGGCCAGTTTCAAACTTAATCATATGCATCTGTCCCCTAGGCTCGAGGCAAAAAGTCTGTGAATTATAATTACGCTTTTCTTCATACAGCAACCAGTTCCACATTTAAAGAGAACCATAGTCCAAACATTTATGTGAAATTACTTCGTAAATAACACCATGAAGCCTCATTTTTAAAATGTTACAGACAACGTGGCTGCTGCACATGAATGATCAAAACAGCACCAAGTTCAAGGGCAGCTGCATCCTATAGGATGAAAGGCAACAAAAGAACAATACGGAGCCAAGGAAGAATGCATTAAAATTAAAAGTGATATGTAGTTAAGCCTTTTCCTGGCTTAATGTGGTCAGTGTGCATTACCATACATAAATATAAGCACATTTATACGATTCTGTGAAGCATTATCTTTCCTAATTAGAATTGTTTTAAAGATTAAGAGACTGACCTACTCAAGGTAGTAATTAAACATGATATCATTGTGGAATGCACGTTAAGGGACTATTTCAATAGAAACATAATGTGTTAAGAAGAAAAGAGTACTTGTACACAGATCTCTTTATTAAATATGCACGGATAAAGCAGAAAAAGAATGCAAATGTTTCTACCCTGGATACACCTGTACAACTGTGAAAAGTTGCTATCAGAAATGTTTTATTTCAATTTAATTTTAAAATGAAATGTTAGTACAAGATGTACGGTTGCACTGTCACATCTCTGTCCTCGTTTGCTGACTGCTGAACACATACTCTGGGACTGACTCTGAAACTGTGCTTCTTCCCTGGGGGTCGTCAGCCTGCACACGCGCTTATCTTGAGCCACGTAAATATATTCCACTTGGTTAAGTGGAACAATGCCTGTGCATTAAATTTAGCGTGCTGCTAAGTATTTCAGCATTAATTATACACGCAGCTATAAGGCAAGATCAGGGCTTCAGAAGTCCGTCAGAAACAACTGTTCTTTATAATGCGTTGTTGTAACAAAACATCCTTTTTGAAACTCACAAGACTGGTCTTTTTTTAAATATAAAACTGCATTGAAACTGTCCTCTTTCACAGTATGCTGATGCTTTGTGTTAATACAGCTCTGTTACAAGATTCATCCTTCCTGTACATATATAAGTTTAATGGCAAGATCATGTGGTAGAATCACAGAATGATGGAATCCTTGGAGTTGGAAGGTACCCTTAAAGATCTAGTCCATTACCCATGCAACAAACAGGGACACGTGCAGCTAAATCAGGTTGCCCAGGGCTGATCCAGCCTCACCTTGAAACTCTCCAGGGATGGAGCATCAACCACTGAGCAACCTGTTCCAGTGCCTCATCACTCTCCCTGTAAAAGACCTTTTCCTTAATCCAACCTAAGTCTTGATTCCTTAAGGCTTGAAGCCTTTTCTCCTTATAACTGCACCCTGTCCTATATAAATTATTTACTATTGGTCACCCAATATATCACATTACTACATCCAAAATCAAAATGGTTCTTGTTAATAAACACATCAGCTATTTAACATAAATATATTTTATAAGTATTCTACATATGATCATCCAATATGAAAATTCTAAAAAATTTTTGTTGTTTCTTTTTCTTTTTTGGGAGGCAAATTAAAATTAATTCCACATTTGGTTTTATTATAATACTGTAACATAATACAAAAGTAAGTATTGCAGAACTATAATGATACTACTAACAGTAGCACAGAAGATACTAAGAGATTCCATTTCAATTGAATTTAACAATTACTTTCAAAAGTTTTGGAATATGCAGCATACCTCTCTTTACACATTTTTCATACTGTATCAATGTTTGACAAGCAAAGACACGGGTGTTTAATGGAGCAGTTCTAGCTGCATAATTTCTTCCATATGGTAGCATACACAACATGAGGCAGTTTAGACCCTCACAGTCTTGGATCTTTTCAGTTAAACATTATCACAGATTAAGACTTTCCCTGCAAGATAGAAAGAACTTGCTGACTCTGCAGTGGAAGACAAACTCAATATATCAACAAGAAACAAAACTCTGCATACATGTATGTAGTGATTTGCTTCACCCTTCTAGACCTACATAGAAATTCTGGATCCCTCACTTATTTTTAGATATCATTAAGCAATTAAAATGATACATGATGAATGAACCCAGAACAGAGGATTTGGCAATATCTCATGACCACTACTGTGTTCACAGCAGATATCTTAATCTTCAAAGTCTAGCCAACTGGCAAGCGGACAATAGAAACTACTCTCAGACTTACAAAGAAATCTGCATCAGCTACTGAGCCAAGAGGTACTGCTATGCTTGTTTCATAAAGACATCTGCAATTCTGAAATAGTTTTGCCTGTGACCAAGGGGCTGTATCCACTCTTCTTGAAAAGTGGACTTGCATATGTCTGTAAACAAAATAATAATCCGGATGCTGGCTAGCAGCTCAAACTGGAATCTCATGGCATCCTTTATCACTGCTATTCTGACCCATGCTAAGCAGTCATTTGCCTATCCTGTCAGCACAGGCATCCTTAAAATTTCTAGTTATTACCCAACAAGGGGTGATGGACATGCTTATAGTACATGCTATTACAACACAAAGAACAGTGGTTAGAAAACCCAGCAATCAAAGAGCCCATGACACAGACTGATGTCTGAATCATAGGCTAGTATGTAATACTTATTGCATACTTTCTAAATTCTCCTAAGGCCATACTCACTCTTGTCAGAGCTGCTGGCATATATTAATAGAGCAGCCAAGAATGGCCAAATAAAAGGCTATGAGTATCTCTGAATGTGAAATGCTGCACAACTTCACTAAAATTTTCTAAACACTCCAAATTGGTTCAATTTTGATTTGATAAAATCAAATTGGGTACAAAAACTCTACTTCACAACTTGATATCTGCAAATTTTTTAGCCATAACACATTTTAATCCAATATGCTGAAAGTTTTGTTGCCATAACCTACACATGAGGAATATATTTAGCATCTACAGCGTTCAGATGCTGAACTTCTATATCATTTAAGACTTCTTTAAACCATTTATATCATTTAAGACTTCTTTAAACCATTGTGGTCATATATTTATAGTGTCGCCTCTTCTAGTATGTATTTAAAGTATTTTCTGCTGGTATATTTATTTTATGCAAACATATATACAAACATAAGAATAGTATACATATATGCACACAATTTCAGAACCTTTTTTTTTTTTTTTTTAAGTTACTTACTTTCTGTGAAGTGATATGGAGTCGCAACAACCAGCAACATAGGAAAGAAAAGAAAATACTGATTAGTCATCCAAAGTAGAAGTTCTTATTACAATGAGATCATTTAAAGGACATTAGGCAATTCAAGGTTACAGCTATGCTCTTCCTCATAATCACAGTAAGTTGGAAGCAGTCAAGCATCGTTCCAAATAATGTCACAAAACTCCTCTACATTCTAAAAGCAAAATAATCAGCCCAACTCCCCAGTCAAAAATATATCATGATTCTGGACTCCCTCTGCTGGTCATGCAGCTGGTGCTACCTGAAGCCAAACTCCAGCCTCAATGGCCTCCAAACAGAAAGTTCTGCAAAAACATGTACAGCGAGAACAAATTTCTATTACCTTTTGCCTCTGATGCCCTCCCCAGAGCAAAAAAATATATAAAAAGAGCGCTGAAACCACAATTTATTTGTAACTTCTCAAACACATAGCCTTGTCAGAAACCCTGAAAACTTCTATGGTTATACATTTAATTCTAATGGCCTTTGCTAGACTGCTTGCCAAGAGAAAAACGATGATCTTGGAAAATGAAATGTTTTAAATACGGAAAACAAGATGCCTAAAGCCAGCCTGTTCCACCAATACAGTGCAGCAGGCAGTGGAAGCACCCTGAGGCTGGGCGCACAGGGCATCCAGCCCCAAAGCAGGCAGCACTTCAAGCCCTTCAGCTCCTTCCTAGAGCTTCCCAAGGTTCCCGCTGGGACCTTAAATGCGACTACAAGTGCTGGAAGAGGAGCACTTCACTGCCATAAATGTGATTATCAATTTCTGTCTGCAGTCATCTGCTCATCTTATACAGATCCATAAATAGACACAAAGCCAAAAACAAAGAAGGAAAAGGGCCCATAACTGATTTCTAGATCTGGTAGGAAGTCACACAGCTAAAATAGGCTTATCACACTTGTAAATTATATCAAGGGATTGCAAGTACCCTGGAAGAAAGACCGAAAGTTACAAGATTCCTCAGTGAACTGGAGACAGAGGTTAAAATCAGTAACACGAAAGTCAGTCAAAAGAAATGGTGAGTGCTATACAGGGTATGAAATCAAATACTGAAAATACATATATTCATGGCAAGTCAAAAGGAAAGACACGAGCACAATAAAATGAATCAAAAAGTAATGATGGCACCTCAACTGTATTAACAGAATGGGTCAACTGGATTGCCATCTGAGTCATATAAAGCAAATATTTGGTTACATCAAGTGCTAGTGGATTCTTGTCAAATGCTGGGCCTACTTAATGAGAAGTGTAGACAAAAAGTAGAAAGTCTAAAGAAGAACAACTGTGGTAACAAATAAGAAAATACAACCTATGGGGAAAGGTTGCAGAAAACATATTTGTGTGATTAGTGGAGTAAAAGTAAGCAAAAATGTAATTTTTCAAAAAATTTAGAATGCTTTCGGGAGTCAAGAGAGAGATATATACTTCAAAGCCACTGGAGGAAGAAAAAGAAAGTTCACAGGTTGTCTGAAAGTGTGAAAGTAACTGTTACTGTTTTAATCAACACAATTACAAGACAAGGAAGTTTGTAAAATAA